AAACGTTGTCCTCCGTTGCTTGATCTGTTCTCTGGGTGAAAAAGAGGATGACCTCATCCAACAGTACAATGTAAGTGACTAGAATTAATCTATATACAGTATTTATGGTGTTTTGAGAAATATGTACATTGTTTTCATTTATAAAAATAGAAATGCAACTTAAACAATAAACTTTTTTCTGCCCAAATTAAATTATATAAAGCTAATGTGAATTGTCATTGGTGAAACTGTACTTATGTTATTGTGACAGTCTTTGTGGTCCACTGAAACATAATATTTTTTATGTTTCAGTGATTGCAAAGAAAATAAACTATAATGGTTTACTTGTAGTTGTCTTAGCATTTTAAGCTGTTAGAAATTTTTACAACTGTACACAAATTAAGTTTATAATTATGGACAGACTTATGAGACACGACAAGATAAAAATGTTTGTTTTACAGTGTGACAATGGAGATAACCTGCAGCACATAATGAAAATTGCCATCTGCTAGAGGGATTCTCAGGAGTATTTCAGCATCATCTTGGAGGGGATGCAAGTCATGACTGGCTTGGAAAATCTGACAAGAGCCTGTGCTGTTCTTCTTGAACTCACATATGCACTAACAACATATTCTCATCCCAAGACGTCATCTAACTGACGCTTTGTCAACATCCAACATTTTAGGGTACCCTTTAACGACAGTTAGATGACGATCCTAGGGGGTCATCCAACTGACACTTTACCTTTAGTGTCAGTTAGATGACGACGCAGGTAGGTTTAGGTCTGGGGTAGGGTCAGGATTAGATAGCGTCATCTAACCGACGTTAAAGGGTACCCTAAAACGTCGGATGTTGATGTGTGGACAAAAGCGTCAGTTGTATGACGTCTTTGGATGAGAGCGGGCTGCACTAAAGCACACCTACCCGAAAGAACTGAGGCACACTTTTGAGGCCTTTCAGAAGCTCTTCTTGGAACTTGATGTTGGCAAGTTTTCCCTGAAATTACTAACACTTAAAAACAAACTCATGACTTGGATTGAGACAATGCATTATGACCAAGTTCTGGTAAAAAAAAAAATGGCATTGATTGATGAACATTTAATATTGTTTTACATACAAGCTTTCACCAAGTACAAATTATTTTACGTTATGTTATTAACATAAACGAGTAAATTCTGCTTGATTTATATGTGAGACAACTTAAATTAAAAAAAAGCACATTCCACTAATAATATTAAATTCATCATGTGCCACAGACTAAATAATTTAGGACATTTTACTTAATTAATTTGGGTTGTTTTCATACACAAAAAAAAACACCTTAAAATCTACTCAAATATAAGACGTGTTATATTATTACCATGATTTAAGTAGATACCATGTAATATTTTTTTACAGTGTACATGCAGTGCAGTAGTTACTGCTCGTGTATGCTAACTGACAATTCACCATTAAATATGTTGAAAAGTGTTTTTTTATATATTATATTTTGTCTGAATTCTATTTGTTATTAGGATTTTACCTCAAATATTACCTATGAATTGGAACAACATCATGAAAAGTAACTGGGATGTTAATGCTACATTTTCTTGATAATCTTAATGTGCATAGATAGCAACTTCAGGTATCAAACGGGTTTATGTTGTACCTCAAGTGGTAATGTCATTTTTGGGTTTATATGATAAACAGGTTCGAAAGTCCAAAATTCCCTTTTTTCCAAAATGGACACCTTTAGCATGATTTTTCACAAAACTGCAAGGTTTTGTGCAGAAAACTTTTTCCTAAGGAATCTCTATATACCATTTTACTAGATGTAAACAACACTGGTCCACAAACACTTCCTGTTTCAGTTTGTAACTGTTTTCTTTATTTCACATGTAAAGAAAACATCTTAAAGATGTTGTTTAACTTTTTGATTCAGTTTTACATGTTTTGACTGTTGGTTGTATTTTATCCCTGCTTTTGTGTAGTGTTAAAAAAACTGAAACAGGAAGTGCTTCTGGACCAGTGTTGTTTACATCTTGCAAAATGGTATATTTCTGATGTTAAATATAAAAAAGTGTGTAGTGTCCCACTTGGTGGAACGAAACTACTTTCTAGGCCTCTTTTAGGCTACCGACAGCGGCCTAATCTGGTCAGTAAACAATGTTACTAAACATCTAAAACCCCAAAACCTGCACATATTTTATTTGTTGGTTTTAGTTCGGCTATTAACACTACACAGCCTCATATGCTTATTCAGAAACGGAAAGACATGAATGTTGTATTCATTTTTAACAAACTCGCTCTTACGGAGCTAGCAGGCCAATCAGCACTGGTGTCCCGCAGGGCTGTCAGTTCACCAGCCCTTTTTACATTAAATAGGCAACTAACGATTGACTCAGACACCATATTGATAATTATATTATTAAATTCTCCGACGATACAGCAATCCTTGGTCTCAAAGGTAAAAGTCCAGCCGCGCATTATACAGAAATTGTGGAATTTGTTCGGTGGTGCGATGATAGGTTCCTGAACCGAAAGTATTTCAATAGACTTGTTTACCTGCGCCATTTTACTGTCACACGCAGACACCTAAACAGACTTAAAAATATGGGCATATTAAAGTTTTGCGCATTTTAGTAGTCTGATAATATATATTAAATAATGTGTTGAGAAACTGCAATCAATTACAACCCTTGTTTTACTTTCTTTTTTTTACGAACGAAACCATCTCAATCGAAATAACAGCAGACTCACCGCCCAAGGCAGGTACAACAACAGCCCAGAGGAGAACTGCCGAACACAAAACAGTGAGAAGAGCCATTTTCAAGCCTATTAATGCTCCGCTGCCTTTCTGTCTTCCTCAGCTAAACCGATGCCAGTTGGATTGGATGTATTTCAGATCCTCATGCACACCCTTTAGTCAGAGATATTTAACCAATAGTAAAACAGACAGCTCTCAGCGTCACTTAAAGGCAGGGTAGTCGGAAGATCTAGTGTTTGTAGTCCTCTCAGTGCTGCAATAAACACAGCTCATTATTTCCAAACGGGGCGAAAAAGTGATTTGCTTAGCGACTGTCACTCTCCCTCGCTACCATGGCTAAGCACTGCTGTGTAAGAGCAGCCCACAGACCAGTATAGTACCATGGTACATGTACCATGATATATTTATAGTAGCCTACCATGGTACTTGTACCATGATATATTTATAGTACCATATTAGATGTAATATAGTACCATGGTATTTGTACCATACCTACAACTGTCAAATTTACAATGGTAGGCCTACATGAAATAAAATATTTAGCTCAGGCAAATAAAAGCACAGTAACTGTAATTTTTTTTATATATTATTTTTTCCCCCCGTAGAGCAGGATTTTCATTTCACTATCTTGGCCACATTTGATAACTTCTGGCGGATGAATCCCTTTATTTCAGCATCATTCTTTTCGGGGAAGACAGATTTAACTTCACCTAAAAAGAGAAAAGAAGTAAAGGAAAGGAGAACAGACAAGTAGATATATAAGATAGATAGATAAGATAGATAATAGATAGATAAGTAGACACATAGACATACAATAGCCTATATTTACGGATGGCACATTACTGATTGCCACTGAAGAAAAAATACAAACAAACAATCTTCTTAACATCTTCATGAGGGAGTGATGGTCGTGTCTCCCCCTTGCTTTATGACCCAGTCACACTGTGAGCTGCCATGAATGCGGTGGTGTACAGACCATGCATCAAATCATTTGTGTATTTAGCTGCTGTAACCTTTGCAGAGGTCCCTGAATGCCTGTGGAATATCCCAAGAACATAAATTGGTATCACATTGGGTCATACCAAACCTTGTTAAGAAATAGCAGTATGGGTTCAAAGGGGTACAACTAAAATAAGTTAGTTAATCTTCCTATTTATCTCAGATTTATATTTGCAGAAGTTCCCTGGTCCCACTTTATAATACACTTCGTTTATTAGTGAATTTAATCTTAACAGAAAGACAGCCACTGAAGAACAGTCATCCACAGGCAGCTGTGTTCTGGAAGACTGCAGTATTTAAAAAGCACAGAAGTACTGTATGTTATTCACAAGAAACTAACAAGAGGACAGACATAAAAAACAGATTTGGTTTATAACCAAGAAAAACACCAACATATAAAAGCTAATTCAAATGAACCATTAAACAACAACATAATCTGCATATACCTGCAAACTGGGTCCAGCAGTTGAGGTATGCGTCATACATGTCATCATTGTTGTCTTTCTGTAATGATCTATGCATTAAAGGGAGAGTTCAGATATTTTGAAGTTGAGTTTTATTAAGATACTTATCCTGATGGCACGGCCCAGATTGGAAATCTGACAGCCATACTGTTTGTAAAACACGGACAATTGATAAGAACACATTCTAACTATCCATTTCAATTGAGTTAGTTTATAAAATAAACAATATTCTTTAAACATTGTAACTATAGCAGACTTAAAGACATACAGTAGTAGCAGATGAAAATAAATAAATTTATATATATATATATATATATATATATATATATATAGAGAGAGAGAGAGAGAGAGAGAGTATATATATATATATATATATATGACTGTATATAGCTCCATGCATAACTGCCAGATTCAAACTGTGCTTTCCACACTATGGCTGGTGGCGCTGACGGACGCGCTCAGCGCTTATCATATATAATAACTACTGATAAAAGGTATTCAGACATGCTTACCAATCATTAACTGCACCTTTTCTAGGTCAAGGCTCTTTTTTCACCAACAACCCCTTTTTTCCGTTCATGTTGCCATCTCTTCGAAAGAAAAGATGGAGTCCATAATAGTTCTAGTTCACTTTTTGTAACCCTTACATCTTTGAGCATGATCCAAAGCAACTGGGTTCATTAAGTCAGTCACTTTTTCTGCAAAGCAAAAAATAAAATAAAAAAGATAATTTTCGTCAGGACAGAAAGCGTGATCTTTTCAAAGTAATTGCGTATTAGGTGAGGTTTGAGGACTTGTTTTTCAGTGATCACCTTTCTTTAAATTCTTTGAATGGGGAAATAAACATTTTATGTCCAATTAAAACAAATTGTGGTCTCTGATTTTTAACTTTAGCTGTCCAGATGCTGACAAAATGACATTTTTATACTCACTGGAAGAGGACTAGAAAATGTGGCAAAACTACATGAACATATCCATACATGCATGATTTTTTTTTGGGTTCATTTTATTGAATGACAACACTATCAAAATGGTGATCAACTTGACAATTCCACACTACCTAATTTTTCCAAGTACAAATGATTTATTGACTTAAAGTGAGGAAAGTTGCTTTAAGTTGTCAACTGATTATTTATTTACAGTGAAAACATTTCTCTATACTGTATGCCAAATAATTTCTTTAGTCTGGGACAACTGAAACCACTGACCCCAACTACTATAAACTGCAAATTACGTAAATGTTGGATTGTTATACATTAAAAAAATACTTGAGAACCAGTTATACATGTTGTTTGCCAAAAACTCCCCTCATTTATCAGCATTATCATGTTTTGTATCACTTTACAATAAGGTTCATTAGTTCACATTAATGTATTAACTAACATGACCTAACAATGAGCAATACATTTGCTACAGCATTTATTAATGTTAGTTAACAATAATACAGCTGTTCATTGTTTGTTCATGTTAGTTCACAGTAAATTAACTGTAAACAAATGAAGAGTTCAGATGCAAAAGCCTCTAAGGGCCATTTGAAATTTTCTCCTAGAAAGATCAATTTTATCAAGCTTGTATGTTCAGTAATTTCACTTAAATGACCATTTATAGGCAATCTTCATTGCAATTTAAGTGAAATTACTGAACTTAAATATACAGGCTTGATAAAAATGATCATTCTAGGAGAAAATTTCAAATGGCACTTAGAGGCTCATCTGAACTCTTCAAATACAACCTTTGAATTGAACAACATTAGTAAATCGTAACTAGGAATTAATATTAACTAAGATTAATAAATGCTAAAGTATTTTCATTCTAAGTTCATGTTAAATAAATTTAAAAAGTGTTACCCATGTATCAAATACAAATATCAGACTCTGGTGTTAACAGACATATATATATATATATATATATATATATATATATATATATATATATATATATTCATATATATATATTCTTTTTTTAAAACCACGTTATGCATTGCTAAATTAGTGAATAACTCAAAATATAATTAAAATCTCTTGCTTCATCACTGCAAACATCACCTAAACGTCACCACAGTACAGCCAATCAGTGAGCACTTCCTAACTACGCGACACGTTCTCTCGGGAACCGTTTCCTGCTGACGTTCTGTTTACTCTATCATTTTAATGGATTTGATTTCTCAAACAGAAGTACTTAAGCAGCCTGTCTTAATTAACCGCTAATAAAATAATGGGGATATGTGCACGATGCGCTCTACTTTGGTAATACATTGTATTTGCGCACGAGCTCCGTTGCTGATAGTGAGGACGTTACAAGAAAACAGTCTCGTGCTTTCCTAACGATATCACTTCTCTTTACCACTAGAGTTGCATCAAACGGTGACAGGTGAGCCTTTCTGTTAGCAAAATAATGTTTTTACAAAGTTATCTGATTATGACATATTTGCTGTGTTAACATAAACCCATGGACACTGAAAAGTCTATAATATTGATAATATCTGCCTGACAGCTGAGTGAGTAACTTAACTTATAAATATAACATAAACAACGGTTGTTGCGAGTCATGTTACAATAGCCTTCTTATGTCTCTTTGGCAAAATTGTAGTGTATTAAATATTAAAACAGTATTTTCTTTCTTCAGGGTGGTGAAATTTCAGGTTTGAGGGTTGTTTGTTGCTTCAAGATGGCTGGGGGCATCACAGAATCAGGGGAGCCTTACTCACCATTTGTAAGTATTACTTCTGACTGAGTTGCTATTGATTAACTTAATATTTTTGAACTACTTTACCTAATTACACTGGTCAGTCTAACTGTTCTGCACACTCAGCTGTTTGTTTCATGTCATGCATGTGATGTGATGTTTTTTTTCTGTTGCTCTGTAATGAAAGGCTAGGACCTGCATTCATTAAAAAGTTCAATATTTGATGACCTGTAATTAAAGCAATTACAGACATTGCTGAAATGTTGTTCTATGTTTTTCAGTAATGTAAGTTGTCATGAGTTTGTTATGTGTCTTTATGTCATTTGGAGTCATGTGATTTAAACCACACACTTTGTGTTACTCATTTAAAGAGGAAATGAAAGCTCAGGAACCAGGAGAAACATGCTTTAATGACTTGAATCAGCACAAAGCAGTGCATGATCCAGACTCGTGTGATTTTGGCATTTAGCCTTTAACTAATTTTCTGACAATATGGGAAAATGGCTAGACATTTGAGTAAATTAATTGTATTAAAGAAGTGAACAGCAATAAATTATTCTTGTTGCTCCCAAAATACCAAAATATGCTTTGGTTTTCATTTGTAAACTCTTTGAAAAGATACCCCTTGAAATAAGCCAAAATGAATCAATATGTTTAAAGTAAGGTAACAGTTTGTCCATTAACTAGTTTGTTTTGATCATATTTGTTCATTTGAAACATTCTTTTCAGCCAATCATACTGTATGTCAAGCTCATGACAATTTTTTCAGCCAGACGTTATTGATTTATGTGATTTGTGCACTCAAGTGGGAGGAAATGCAGTGGTGCTCTAATGAGTTATCACATACATCAGATTATTAAAAATGCATGATGGTGAACAATTCCAGACATAATCTCTACAAGAAAGACAGATGATGCATAATGGGAACTTTGTGTGATAAAACTTCAGTGCATTGTAAAACTCAAGTGCTTGTTATACATTTTAGTTTGATCTGTGATCTTTGAAAACTTTAAATCCGCTATAGACGTGTTTGTTTTGTGATTTATAGGTTGGCCTGGTGTACATGTTCAATCTAATTGTTGGCACTGGTGCCCTGACCATGCCCAAGGCTTTTGCAGCAGCTGGCTGGGTAGTCAGCATCTCCCTCATCACATTTTTGGCTTTTATGAGGTATGCTCTCCCTCTAGTTTTTTTTTAATCCAACACAATCTCTTTCTTTCTCCCTTTTTCTCTGTTAAGGCTGCCAATACCAGCTTGGGTAGTGTCGGTGCGGTGTGGTGTTTGTTTTGAGTCAGAATAGAAGTTTGAACCTTCATTGGTCTCACGATTCAATTCAATTTTGATTTTCACGTCAATGTTTCATTTTTGGTATCGATATCATGATGCGTTGCATCCTCAATTTTCAATATTCCTGCACATGGGTACGATTTCATCAATGAATACAAGCTGTCAGATATATGAACTCCCTTTTTATTTTATCTGCTCCAAGAAAGTACACTTCCTAAATGTAGCAAACATGAAATAAAACTTAGAATAAGTTTTAAAATAGAACACAGCACATGACAGGAGCATTTAGAAATAATTAACACTAGTGAATACTAAAAGTGCATGAGACTGTCATGTAATGTACTTAAAGGGATAGTTCACTTTGAAATTAACTTTTGATATGTTTTATCTTACCTCAAGGGCATCCAAGATGTAGGTGTCTTTGTTTCCACAGTATTTTCAATTTTGACATTTTTCAGTCAAACTGTTGTTGTCTATCAGTCATACACTGGAGGCTAAGGGGGTCCACCAAAAAGCATGCACAGAGAAGTCAAAATTAAACATGATTTAATGACTCGTACATGTAAGGACACATTGATGGCCTAAGACACGAAACGAGCGGTTTGTGTGGGAAAACGAACAGTATTTATATCGTTTTTCCTCTTGTTCTTTACACAGAGATTTCGGAAGTTTTCACTTAACATATTTAGATATACGGGAAACCGCAAATTAAGACGATTTCGGTATATCCAAATATGTTTAATAAAAGGTAAAACTTCCGAAATCTCCGTGTAAATATTGAGTGACGTCACACGCAAGCGATCACTTCCGGTGTAACATTGAACTGATTCAGTTCGGTTCAGTTGGACATTGAACAACTGACTCAGATCACTTGGATTACACGAGGTAAAAACGATATAAATACTGTTCGTTTTCTCACAAAAACCGCTCGTTTCATGTCTTAGGCCATCAATGTGTACTTACATTTACGAGTCATTAAATCATGTTTAATTTTGACTTCTCTTTGCATGCTTTTTGGTGGACCCCCTTAGCCTCCAGTGTATGACTGATAGACAACAACGGTTTGACTGAAAAATGTCAAGATTGAAAATACTGTGGAAACAAAGACACCTACATCTTGGATGCCCTTGAGGTATAAAACATATCAAAAATTAATTTCAAACTGAACTATCCCTTTAAGTTACAATAATTCATACACACACACACACTGTAAATGGAAAATTTAAAATCTTAAAAGGAAAAAAAAAATATATATATATATATACACTCACCGGCCACTTTATTAGGTACACCTGTCCAACTGCTCGTTAACACTTAATTTCTAAGCAGCCAATCACATGGCGGCAACTCGGTGCATTTAGGCATGTAGACATGGTCAAGACAATCTCCTGCAGTTCAAACCGAGCATCAGTATGGGGAAGAAAGGTGATTTGAGTGACTTTGAACGTGGCATGATTGTTGGTGCCAGAAGGGCTGGTCTGAGTATTTCAGAAACTGCTAATCTACTGGGATTTTCACGCACAACCATCTCTAGGGTTTACAGAGAATGGTCCGAAAAAGAAAAAACATCCAGTGAGCGGCAGTTCTGTGGGCGGAAATGCCTTGTTGATGCCAGAGGTCAGAGGAGAATGGCCAGACTGGTTCGAGCTGATAGAAGGGCAACAGTGACTCAAATAACCACCCGTTACAACCAAGGTGGGCAGAAGAGCATCTCTGAACGCACAGTACGTCGAACTTTGAGGCAGATGGGCTACAGCAGCAGAAGACCACACCGGGTGCCACTCCTTTCAGCTAAGAACAGGAAACTGAGGCTACAATTTGCACAAGCTCATCGAAATTGGACAATAGAAGATTGGAAAAACGTTGCCTGGTCTGATGAGTCTCGATTTCTGCTGCGACATTCGGATGGTAGGGTCAGAATTTGGCGTCTACAACATGAAAGCATGGATCCATCCTGCCTTGTATCAACAGTTCAGGCTGGTGGTGGTGGTGTCATGGTGTGGGGAATATTTTCTTGGCACTCTTTGGGCCCCTTGGTACCAATTGAGCATCGTTGCAACGCCACAGCCTACCTGAGTATTGTTGCTGACCATGTCCATCCCTTTATGACCACAATGTACCCAACTTCTGATGGCTACTTTCAGCAGGATAATGCGCCATGTCATAAAGCTGGAATCATCTCAGATTGGTTTCTTGAACATGACAATGAGTTCGCTGTACTCAAATGGCCTCCACAGTCACCAGATCTCAATCCAACAGAGCATCTTTGGGATGTGGTGGAACGGGAGATTCGCATCATGGATGTGCAGCCAACAAATCTGCGGCAACTGTGTGATGCCATCATGTCAATATGGACCAAACTCCCTGAGGAATGCTTCCAGCACCTTGTTGAATCTGTGCCACGAAGAATTGAGGCAGTTCTGAAGGCAAAAGGGGGTCCAACCCGTTACTAACATGGGGTACCTAATAAAGTGGCCGGTGAGTGTATATATAACAGCCTTATTTATAGGCCAAAGAAAACAAGTACGTTTAAATATTTAATCATTCATTTATCATTTAAACGATAATTTAAACTATTCCTTTAATTATAATTTCTTTGCGCTGTACAGCAGAGGTTCAAGGCCCGTTCGCACCAAGGAGGATAACTTTATAATGATAGCTATAAATATAATATAATATAAGTTGAACAAATTGTTCTAAATGTAAAAGAATAGCGGTCCAATGCAAGCTTGAGCGTTTAAAGTGGCAGATTTGCAGACACAATTGCAGCATGTCCTTATAATAGATTATACCTGTATTGGTATGGATGCTAATAGAGTTATTGCTGTAGTTATCTTTATAGTTATCTTGGTGGCAATGGCCTTTACTGTTCAAATGAAAACACTGAATAAAAATTGTGGAACATCCTTAAAATTTTAATATACTGAATTGTTATTACTTTGAGAAGTAATACTATTTTTTTATTTCCATATTGGTGATGGCGTTCTACTAGTTGCTGTTTTATTATTGCTTTTACGCTTGATTATTCAGGGGTATTGACATATCAGGTTTAGGAGGCTGTGTGTATTAGATTAGATCTTTTCTGGTGGTTTGCCGAATGGGGTCAGAATGGGTCTCTAATTTGTGTGTAGTTGGGGCATGAATTTGAGAAGTGTAATTCTGTCTCTACCTCCTGTTGTGTTCAATAAGAGCACAGCGTGTCTTCTTTTGGGCATCTTTGCATGCTATTTCTCTCTCTCTCTCACTCGCTCATTGTTAGCTGACCTCTCAACCCTGTTACTGCTGCCGCTGGTGCTGTGGCCATCAAAACACATTTATCACCCCTGCCAACCTGCCAGCTGTCTGAGCCATTGACAGAGCCCAGGGGAGAATTATGAGAGTTTAGATGCAACAGAATGGAGCTGTATATCAATGAAACAGCTGAGGAAAGATAGCAGACAACAGTGGTCTTTAAATACAGGTTATGAGTGGAGATGTCCGAATGAGACTGACGTTATATATGATGTTAATAGTGATCTATTAAAAGGGGTCGTGACACGAGAAACTAAATTTGCCTTGATATTTTGACATAAGAGTGTGTTCTCTGTACAGACTTCAGAAGGATCCCGGCTTCAGAACCAAGTGGATGGTTTATTTTAATGGCATCCCAGATCACGTTGAAGGATTATATGTGTGTTCGGAGCATTTTGTTTTGTAAATGAGGCACAGTATAATGGAGAGTTTGCAAAGACCCTTTTGTTGAAAGATAAAGCTGCTGACTGTATTGGATCTGACAGCAGCTGCATCACAAACTGTGCATGATTTAATAATGCTTAGTCTATAAATGAGGGTTTTATATGGATAATGTTTTCTAAACACTTAGAAACGTGCAGTTAGCAAGGGGCCATTGAGACCGTATCATATGCAATGGTGTTAGCCAATCATAACAGCGGTCGTTCAATGACAAGCCTTAAAGGAGCCGCTCCTTAAAAATGGATAATTTTAGACTGAGCGTCAGAATGAGGGTTGAGAGTTTTTTATGCATATATTTGTTTTTCACTTTATAAGTGAACCTCAAGAACCCCTTAAAATAAAAAAAATGCATGTCATGGCCCCTTTAAAAATGTATGATTTCAATATATTTTTATATATATAAAAAAGAAACTTACTCTAGATAAATAATGCCTTGTAATATATCTTTAATACATTGTATGGTCTCAGGAGTAATTGTAACCACAGTCATAAATGCATAATACACATACACAAACAACCAATTTCAGATGTAACAAGGAATCTGCAAATATTATAATCTATTTTAACTTTGGTTACAATATTTATAAAAAGGTATAATGAACTATAAAGTACATTTAGCAATACATTTTGTAATGCATTATACATAAAGTCTGAAAGTAAAAAAAAATGTCCCCACATGGGCAGTAAAACCTGAAATTTTCAACAAAATTTTGGTCTCCATGGGGAAAACGTTCATAAATCATACGTAATGTTATTTTTTTGAAAATGAATGTTTTCTGTAAGACCGTGTCTACACCAGACTCGAGCAGCACGACGCAACACAACAAAAGTAAACAGAACCCATTATAATCAGAGATGCTGTCTACACTGGATTTGGCACAACACGACACGAGTTCAGATCTGACCTTGATCCAACACACCCGTCTGTAATTATCAGGTGCTCCTGCAGATCTTTAGTAGCTGGTTTAGTTGTGTTTGGTTGGAGCTGAACTTTAGGGAAAGTAAATCTCCACAAACGGGAATTGGCACCCCTGGGAAAGAATGTTTGAACAGTATAAAAATAATGGAAAGTCCTCATAAAACACAAAAACCCTATGTGTGTGTGTGTTTCCACATTGTTTTTGACTAAATAAACACAGGGATTAATGATATTGAATCATTTTCAATTATATGCACCAATGACAAGTCTCTGAATCAGACTTTTAAAAACAATTGTTTCTGCTTAAAGTAGGGTTTTTCTTTTTTCTTTTCTTTAGGTAATAGTATTGTTTCCACTCACGCAGCCTTATGTCAGCATAACATAAGTTATCTCAGGCGAGGAAATGTATGACATTTTAATAAAATTATTTTTTAAAAATGTCTTTAATGTAATGCGCAAAATCGTGACGGTCAATTTGTTGTTGTATGTTGTCTTTTTCATGAATTTTCTTTCTGATATCAGCTCTGCATCTAGTTTTGTCTGCATCTTTTTTTCCCCTTTTTTTTTAAAATATTTATTTTATTAAACTTAACCTACTACACATGAAATAGTACTGTTCTGTCTTCCCTCAGTTTCATGACCACCACATTTGTGATCGAAGCCATGGCTGCTGCCAATGCCCAACTACGCTGGAAGAGGCGAGAACAGGAAGAGGTTAGTGACATCATCCGTTTACCCTGCCTGAACACAATGTTGTTATTCAGTATCTATTCCCTATGAAAATTACACTTATCATGGAAATGTTACACTTCCCAAGCCAGAAAGTCGATGAAACTCAAAATCATACTGACCTATCATCAGTGAATGAAACGGGGCCATTTAGGGCAGATGTACTAAAATCGCTACGAGTTGACAAACTCAGAACGAGGCTCATGGTTAGTAGACAGTTTCACCCATGCAAACAGAATACAGAAAACCTATATAACTATAAAATCAGACTGTTTATATTTTAATAGATGATCTCTTTTCTGCAACAACATATATTGTGTTTATGCTGAATAAGCATGTCAAGCAAATTTTTGACACAATGCTTCTTTGTTTTAGTCACGTTATATTACACACACACACACACACACAGCTGTACATCTGAGTAAACTGAGGAAATAATCAAATGTGTTCTTCTAGAACGCCCTCACATTCATATGTAACATTGTTTTAAAGGAACGGTTCACCAAAAAAAGATAAATGTTATAATTTACTCGCCCTCATTTTGATCCAATCCTGTATGCTATTACCTCACAAAAAGTTAGGCTGTACAAATTATCATCGTACAATGGAAGTCAAAAGGGACTTTTGTACACTACCATTAAAACGTTTGGGGCTGTTTTTTAAAGAAGTCTCTTCTGCTCACCAAGGCTGCATCATTCGATCAAAAAATACTGTAAAAACAATATAAATGTGAAATATTATTACAATTTCAAAATGACCTTTTTCTATTTGAATTCATTTTTAATGTATTTTATTCATGTGATAGTTGCACAGTTGAATTTTCAGCATCATTACATGTCACATGATCCTTCAGAAATCATTCTAAGATGCTGATTCACTCATTATTATCAATGTATTGACTACAAAGTGAAGATATGTTTTTTTTTCTCCAGGATTCTTTGAATAGAAAAGTCAAAAGAGCAGCATTCATTTGTGATGGAAATCTTTTTTAACATTATGAATGTCTTTACTGTACCTTTTGATCAATTAATGCACCCTTGCTTTATAAAGTATTATAAAAAGTGTGAACAAACTTGCCATTACCAAGCTCACACATATGTCATTTTTTGGTTGTGAGCGTGTTTGTTGAGGGCCTATTAGTAAACGAATCAATTTTATTGTTACAAACATTTGAAGATTAATGACAGCGACTCCAGCTCGGACTATTCAGATGATGAGGTCACTATCCGGGGACGTTCAGAACCTGTCGAGACGCGGCCCATTCTCTCTGTCCGTAAGTGCTGTTTGTATTGTACTGTCAATAATGATTTGTAATGTTACCCAAGATCAAAATCTCAAGGTCATTGTTGGTTTTGTCATCTGATGTAACAGAGCGTGCTTCGAATATAGACCACTTTGACATTGTCGAGAGGGTCGAGATGGGACAAATGGCCTCCATGTTTTTTAATAAAGGTAAGACTTCTTGCATCATAATGCACTACAATGTAATCTTCAATGGAGACGTTTAGCTTTATAAGACTATTAAAAAAGAAGGTTTCCGAAGGTCAAGTTTTGCTTCAGTGTTCAGTAACATTGAACAAGGTTATTGGCTGTTAATGGGGTGCAATTAGAACTAGTTAAATTGCTTTTTGGTTGTAATTACCTCACTGTTAATCTTTTATCTACTCTAATATAAGGAAACAAGAGGTTCGCTCAAAGATGAAGAACCCAGGTAATGAGAATCTTATGATGAATATGAAGACGCGGTGTTCACCTTAAACTAAAAACCGAGGTGTCATTTATACTGAGTCCTATTTTCAAAATTCTTGCCCTGCTAAGCATCATTTCACAAGCAGCGCTACACAAAGGCTGACTCAACAGTGCCCCGAGCAGCCTTGTAATATCTCAACAGCATTACTTTTGGCATCTTCTCCAACCATCAAGCAAAGGACGGACATCAGAAATGGCCTGCTGAGCTGTTTCATACAGGGTTGGAAATGAACTGGGCTTAGGGCAAAAATGCCACAGAAATGAACAAAAATCCCCATCACAATTAAACGAATTCTATTACAACGATCAGGGTTAAAGTGAAATGTGTTTATGTTCAGTGCAGACGTTTGCTGACTGAATTCTGCATAAACTTAAACATCAAAGTGCAGATACAATGTAAACAGGAGATTAATTTTGCAGTGTAGAAAATGTTATCATTTTTTCGCAGAGTTTTTGCGTGAGGGCATAACAACGTGACCTTGCACTAGGCTTGAACTTTATTTGCCCGCTTTCTGTATTTAATTTATTCCCAGTTTGAAGAGCCGTTTCTTTCTTCATGCTGCTAAGATAACCAATGCAATGTTTGTAATTAATAAAAAAAAAGCAATAAACTATTTTTAACTTGTTTTTTTTGTCTGTGTTGCCTAGAAGAATATATGACGAGACGTTTCTCCGCCCATAATACCTTGTGTTTTTTTCTATTAAATGACATTAGTAATCATTATTACAATGTTGATGGCAATAATCGACTAATGATTTGTCATAATTTCAGTTCTGCTCTGTAATAATTTTAGAATTGATATACTTTATGTAAGCGATTTACACTATGCAACGTTATGCAGTTGTCACGTAAATGTACATTTAAGCATTTATTATACATGTATTTAGAATTCAATGCCACTTTTATATTAAACTGACTATGTAAATGTCAGATGCAGCTTCTGTTCCACCTATACAGTGTAAATGTGACTTCTGTTGATGTTGAGAATTTATAAAAGTAATTTGGTTAAATATAAGTATTTGACCCGATACCTTTAATGCAGTTATCATTAAAATGGCCTTTTAGAAAAGAAAAAAATTAAAAGGAAAAATATATACATTGCCTATTAATGGGAAGGTTAATTTCTGACCCTGGTTCCATATGTCATCAGCATGTGATGGCAAGTGTTATGCACTAGGTGGCGCTCTTGTTGCACCCTCAAACAAACCAGCACTGCCTGTTATGCGCAGCATGCACTCTCGTTTTTGAACACAAGCACGCACTTGTAGCTTCAGAGCTTTGTGTTTTCTCGGCACAGACGTCACACACTCGCCCTGTCGACTTTTTGTTATTCTATTAAGCGTGATGTGTTACAAAAGCTTGCTGTGCTTTGACCTTTCTCAGTGTAGAATGGAGTGAAGTGCACTTGGGAGAAACTAATGACTATCTGAGCAGACTCTGACCGTAAATGTGTTAAATGGAAGTGTGAAGGAGATTAGTTTACTTAGGATGACTGTAGTATTGACTGTAGCTTTAAAGATAATACTGGTTTGCCCTCTTTGTCTTTTTAATCCAAGTGGAATTGCTAAACACTACTTTTGTAATGGGGGTGATCAATCCATGAGCTGCCATTCAGCGGAAAGTAGTTAAACTGTAGTTAAAGGCTTTAAAGTTTGTGAATGGACTTTAGTGTTGTCGAGGTAGGTGGGAGGTTGTTTTTACAGTAAATACACACAGCGATTCTTTGGGTTCAGTTGCTTTTGCAAATTAAAGCAGAATGTGAATCCGCTCTGGTCTGAAATGAACAACAGGAAGCCTGGCTTCTGTCATTTCATCATTTGGCCGGTTTCTTAATGGCCGCTGGTTTATCTGGGTTGCTCACAGTGGCTGTAACCTTCCCACTGACAGGTTGATTAGAAGACTGCTTCGAATAATGCCACAGAGGAGATAGATTAGCTCATGATTGATTTTGTTTTTAGGTGTGCCATTACTTTTGCTCAGAATGGGGATTTTTTTCTTAGTAATCCCTAACCATAACTATTAGACTTTGGTGTGTTCATCTTGAACTGTTGCCTGCATGCATGTTTTTGCTCTGAGGAGAGCCTTGCTATTACTTCTCAATAATGTAGAAAGATTTAGGCCTGGTTTCACAGACAGGGTTTAAATTAAGTCAGGATTAGACTTTCGTTTAATTAGGAAATTTAAGTAGCTTATATAAACTTGCCTTAGTTTAAAAAAAAGACAAAACAATGCCACTGATATATTTTAAGAAATAAGTTGCTTTCAGTTAAAACAGCTCAAATATGCATTTTAGTCTGGACTAGACTTAAGCCTTGACTGTGAAACCGGGGTAATGGATGATAAAACTGTATCAAAATCCTATATAATTGAGTTGAAGGAAGAAACTGAGCCATTGTTATCATATTTGTGGTGCTTATTTCCTCTTAGATGCCTCACTCAAAGTTGTTCACTTTGAGCATTCAAAACAATTGTGTTTTAGTGTTGGATTGTTTTATTATTTTTTTTAGACAAAACAGTCTAGAAATCAGCAACTGATTTTGCATTCATAATTTCCCATGTTTTCGTCACTCATCTTCATAAACTGGAATTGAAAGCAAAATTTGCTGGGGTTTTTTTTATGTGGAGGGAAAGATGGCTCAATTAAGCTCGTAAAAATGTTCAATCTAGTTTAAATAGTCTGTTAGCACTAGTCGACTTTCAGGGTAATTAATGAGCTGATTGGTTGGCTGGACCGTTTGAGATCCTCATAGGAGCTTCTGTGAATGATGAATGTGTGTTGTGGTGAAGCCGGTCTGTGTTTCCTCCTGAATGCTCTCCATCTCATCTCCAACAGGCAGGGGCTGAGTGATGGATGGATGGAAGAACAGGTGAAGAGGAGTGTGGGGTTAATGAAGAGAAGAGCATTGGGATTTCATAATGAAGTGCTTGCTTCTTTAATTAGGATGATTTATACAGCTCTATGCGTACAGTGGCTATAGTGTTTGTGGAGGAACATCAGAGGAATCGTCTAGGGAATGATGCTGCCCATCTTCTTGTTCTGTGAACCTCTCCACATGTTTGTATTTGATGTGATGTTTTATGTAAAGCCATGAATCTCTAGAATGTGATTGTTTCTCTCTGCAGTTGGCGTCAACATGTTCTACATCTGCCTAATCGTGTACCTGTACGGAGACCTGGCCATTTATGCTGCTGCTGTACCTGTGTCACTGATGGAGGTCGCTTGGTGAGTTTGAAATCTCTCATCTTGCTCTTCTTCTATACATTAATTAATGAAACATCAGCTTTACTTTTTGAATGAGAACATTTGATCAAACATTAAAACTAGATTTATTTCATATTGGTTGCAGATCAATAAGAAAATTGCCCAGTCATAAAAACACAACTAATTTCTTATGGTAGACTTTTTCAGAAGAAAATGTTTAAAATGAATGTGAAAATTGGTCCACACCAAACAAGCCTCCGGTGTCATATTTGATATACTGTACATGTGTCACAATATATCGCTATACATAAATGCAACAATATGTATCATGGATAGTGATCATATGTATTTTGTATAGTTCACCCAAAATAAAAAGTACTGTGAGGGAAAAAAATAAAGTTTACAGAGTATATATATATATATATATATATATATATATATATATATATATATATAATGTTGAATATAATGTATAATAATGCAATGGGGGAATATTTGTGTCCTGATAATGCCAAATGTCTACCAGTGAAAAGTGGCCTACATTATTTTAAATATATCTATCCAGTGACAGAGTGAAAGCATATTCATCTACAATAATTCTGTATTTTCAGAATCTTGAATATTTTTCTTCTGGTGTCACCATTGTCCTGTGCATTGCAAGTCCAAGCCTATTCATTTCCACCCCCAATGTAATACCAAATTTAGCATTTAAATCAACAGTTCATTTTTTTGTTACCTTTCACCATATGTCTTGGAGTTTTACAATAATATCGTATCGTCATATGTATCGATTCGTTACATGAAGGTATCGTTACACCTCTAATGCATATGCATATCTACTACATGCCTTCTGTCGTCTTTTTTAGCAAGTAAAAGGCCTTTTAAAATAATTCTCAAAACATCCCCATTTAGGTTGTGGTACACGTCTCTTTTTGCTGTGAAATCTTTACTGAATGCATTTTTATATTGTTAATAATATTTCTAGATAAGCACTGGACTAAAGTAACTTAGGTTTACTTGATAATCACATTTTAACATGATTTTTCTAGAAAATAATGAATTGTTATGGTAATCAAATATGATGCATCAGGATTTGAGCAACTTTTTTGGTACATTTCTCAATCATCATTGTATTGCATTATATATTTTCCACGATAAGACCTTTCATCATAAAACAAAGCATTTCAATATTGATTTGACATATTTTTGGGAGAAATGGTGACAACTGATATTTATATGCAGATGCACTTTATGTAAGTAGTCTGCTATACTGTTATAAAGATCTCACTGTTTATCTTTCTTTTTGGCCATATAAATGTCAGCAACTGTATATTTTTGCTTAGTTTATAATAAATACAATTGAGGTGTTTTTTTCCCCTCAAGTTTGAGTTTTCTTGATGCAACTCCTGAAATCGATTCACAGATGTCAGAAGTGTAATTGTTTGCCTTCTCGCAGTGGGAATCACTCGTGCAGTGCTGGGAGTGTGAAATACAACGATACCGAGTCATGCTGGGGCCCTGTAAGACGCAAAGACGCCTACAGAGTGTTTCTGGTGAGTGCAGCAACACCCGTTACACGGTCAAACATACGCTCTACGTTGGCAGCACTTATGTCTCGGCAGAGTGCAGGCCTCACACTGGCTGAAGGTAAGAAAGACAAACGAGACACTTAATACTTCTGCGTAATCTCTGTGGACTCCTCACCCCACCCGTGTATCAGGAGGCTCTTGCGTGCCCTTGAAATTCACATAGAGCGAGAGCACAAGACGCCGGTGTGATTTCCTCCTCGGCTTTAGCTTCGCAGCAGTGATTGATGTGCTTATACATTTCGCTCTGCTCCACCAGTGGCTATCCCAACTGCCAATAAAAAATATTGTTTGAGCTTTTTTTTAATTCTCACTTGGATAAGCCTCTTATTGCATGTTAACCACAGGAAATAAGGCTGATTTTTTAGAATATATGCAAATATTTGCTTGCATTGACCCTTATTTGGACGGGATTAGTTTACCATGGAGAGGTGGGGGAAAGTAATTATTACCAGAACTTCTCAGTGATTTTTGTCCTGTCCAAATATGCCATCTCAGTAATCATTACGGACAGTGGGTCTCATTCATGAAACATTCGTAAATATACGAGTAAATACAAATACTTCGTAAACGTCAGATGCGATAGTGAAATGTGTGTGTGTGTTAATGAATTCCAACCAGCCGTAAATGGGATGCGCGTGCACGTTCATTCTCAATTATACCATAAATCCCGCCCATTATATCCGACTGACATCTACATGCATATAATAACATGAATGAGAATGAAAAAGAAAGATTTCTCAGATGCAGAAATTGAAGTTTTATTGTCAGAAGTTCATTCAAAACGGCACATTTTATTTTCAAGCGTACATAGTGGCGTATCAGGTCCTAAAAAAGCTTGGCAAAATATTACAGATGCAGTTAATGGAGTTTCATCTGTTAATCGAACAGTCCCAGAAGTGAGAAGAAAATAAGCCTGACAGCAAAAAACGAATTAGTTCACTTCGGAAAAATCGTATTCAGCTGGAGAAGGACCGGCATCAATCACCAGATCTGCTATTACTGGCTCTCATTATAAAAGTAAAAAGAAAAACCGTATGTAATTTCTATATAAAATATTTTTTCAAAATGCTGTTTAAATATGTACCCATTGGTGAATTAAAATGCAGTCTTATTAATGAGCAAAACGTTCGGATGTTAAGCGCACCATTTACGCGTGGCTGGGAGCAGCTGTAGATTTCTTGCGTACCAACTAACATTTAGAAAATACGAACATTTTAATGAATCCGGAAATTTACGCCAGAACCACTTTACACATGATTTAGAGCCAGACCGATATGCCGGCCGATATTAGGCATTTTCCAAAATATCGGTATCGGTAGTTATAATGGCCGATAAATGAATATTTCAAAAATAAAATAAAAACGGACCAAAAAACGCTTCAATCATCTCTTCTTGGCCTGTTGTATTGAAAATGTATGTTTTACAATTTGCAGTATGACATCCATTGCTAAATTATGGCTCATCATAGACTAGCTAACCACAAAGCTAGCTAATACCACTTTCATCAGTGGAAGACCGCTAACGTTAACATTAATGAGCTTGGAAAACCACAATGAACTTTTTCTGCCTAAATAAAGTATTGATTACTATATTTATAACTAGCATATCTCTAGTTACCATCCCTGCATTGTAAAATGTAAGTTAGATTAGTGAGGAGTGAACATTTAGACATAGAGAAAAAGTATCAAACGTATCTTGTGCATAAAAGTTAGCTTTTCTTTTACACGTGTGTGAAATCCAATGATGCCAAGTGTGCATTGCAGACTGTCATTCTGTAATGGATTTAGAATCGCTAAATAGGAGGTTTTAGGAGGCAGGCAGCAACTGATGATCGAAAATGGTTTGATGTACAGTAGCTTGATGGAAAGAATTTAAAAAGTGCAGGTAAAGGGATAAGCAAGCTGACATTGTAATTATAAGGTAGCTTATAAGGCAATGTAGGGACTAATTATTGTTTTATTTATCAGAACTTTAATATATTTTGATGTTCCTCTGTTCTGTTGTGACAACAAAAGAAACAAGTTTCTTTTTAAAATGCTTTATCATATTATTTTAGTTAACTCAAATAACTACAAATAACTATGTTAGGGATATCTGTTAATGTTTTGTTGGCGTTTCTGAAAAAAAAACAAATATCGGCCGATATATCGGAATATCGGATTTTAAAACCCAAAAATATTTGTAATCGGTATCGGCCTTCAAAAAATCCTTTATCGGTCGGGCTCTACGATTTACACACACATTCGTTCTGCTCGTGTTTCATGAATGAGACCCAGTGTCAGTAATTATTACGGTGACTTTCACCTTCTGTAAAAAGTTCCAGAAAAATTACCTCAGGTAATACTAATCCCGTGCGAATAGACCTATGTAAATATGTACGTAAATATTCCGTATGTAAATATGTCCTGTTTAAAAGTAGTTTTTCCAAGTATGGAGGTGCTTGAAAAAGCGTTCAGATGCTGGGACAAATCTGTGGCAAAACTCAAGTGTTTTCTGCATACCATTCAGATCAAAAAGAAGGTCGAAATGTTAGAAGCACAAAACTTCTTTTAGTGTTTGGTAAGTGCCTATTACCAACATAAGCCAATCTGAATTTTATTAAAACATAATTCAACCGGACTTAACTGTTTTATCAGGAAGCAATGTAATACGCATGTTGAGTCACAATGAGTTCACGTTGTGTCTTTATGTATGTTGTGTGTCAGCTGTAATTCAGTTTAGTTTAATAGATCATTTAGGAAGCTAGAAGAAACAACCTACATCTTCCATCCCCAAACTCTGAATCTTTCGACTAGAAGGTCATCATTAGTTTTTCTTCTGGATATGCCCTTAAATAAATGATCTTTTTTATAAATGAAAGATTAATCCAACCGGCTTATGAACCTAGTGTCACTGGGGCTGTTCTCTTCCTCTCACCTTTACCTCCAACTGTCTCTATTGTTGTGAGGAAGGAAAATTGCCCAATTTTGAGTCTGAGGAATGTCCAAAGGGGCAGACTGTCAAAGTCACCAACTTTATGAGCTTTATCAGACCAGGTGAATCTGTGCCACAGGATGTTGTCTTCCTCGGCCGCTCATGGACTGTAATAAAATAAGGTTTCATTAGTTAACATTAAAAATAATAATAATTAAATGCGCATTGGTGCTTCGGTGTTTTAACATGATCACAAAAATGTCAGGTCACATTTGCATGCAAATGAGTGACATTTACATTAATCCACCATATTGGCACTAACTTTGTTTTCAGTTTGAGTTTGTACTTGAACCTGTCCAGGAACTCATGTTAGTTTATTGTTATGATGGGTTTTTAATTAGCTTTTTAATTAGCAGTTCCTCACTGGTACTCTTTAAATTTCTTCCATATCAAAGCAAGCTAATCAGTCCTTGTACACTTATCTGGCCTTGCGTTCTAGATCAGTGCTGAACATGCCAAATCTATATCCTGTCCTATTAAGGAGACTGCTGCTGAGATGTAGCGCAAATCTATTACAGGCGCCATGATGTGAGAAAAATTAGGAGATTTAACAGTTTCACCTGTTATTATATCTCAAATCTTCAGAAATGCATTCATGGCAGTTTTTGGATGTCTGCTGGCGAGTCATGTTTCAAGGAAATATTCCAGATTATTGAATTGTATCTAAGTGCCCATATGTCCTTCTAACATGTCTTTATAAGGTTTTAGATGTAATCCTAAATCATCATGCTAACTTGACTTTTGAAGCCTGCCTTTTGCCGACAGTGTGAATTATGACCCTACAGCTACTGTAGCACAGATGCATTTTTTTCTTCCTTTTGGTGTGTCTTGACTTTGACTCAAAATGGTACGTGGTCTGCCTGAGAATATTTGAGAGCAGTGGTCAGTTGTATTCCCCCGTGGCTAGCGGGATTGATGTTGGACACATTAGTGCAGCATCATGGCATAAGCTTTAGAAAAGAAAAAAGTGAAGATTAAGAGGCACATTATGCCTTCACATAACACCTTGCCTCACTAATCCCTGAGTGGGTGGCAGGCCGTGACACTGTTCTTTCTCTACCTGTGGCACACAAAGAAGGATGTTATGCATGTCTTTCTTCAGGGGAATGTGGCCAAAGAGTTTCCAGGAATGCAGTGTACTGGACTACAGATTCTCAAACTGCCTATCTATCTCAGAAAGGGCCCTTATAGTTGCTGTTTTGCTTTGTATTGCTTAAAGGAGAAGTTCACTTTTCAAAAAACTTTTGCTGATAATTTACTCACCCCCATGTCATCCAAGATGTCCATGTCTTTCTTTCTTCAGTCGAAAAGAAATTAAGGTTTTTGATGAAAACATTCCAGCATTTTTCTCCGTATAATGGACTTCAATGGGAACCAAACGGTTCAAGGTTTTGTACAAACTGCAAACTGTTTAAAGGGCTTTAAACGATTCCAGACGATGATTAAGGGTCTTATCAAGCGAACCGATCGCTCATTTAAAAAATTTCTCCTGTTTGAACTCGTTCATCAAAATGAACAAATCTTTTTCCGAGTCAATTGGTTCATTCAGCGAACGAAACGAACGAATTGACAAAGGACTTCAAACGATTCCAGGCGATCTTATCAGTCTTTCACAAATCTTTTTCGTGTCATTTGGTTCATTCAACGAACGAAATGAACGAATTGACTTGAAAAAAGATTTGTTCATTTTGATGAACGAGTTCGAACAGGAGAGTCACGAACGCGCATCACAGAACAGAGCAAGGCGAGCATTTGAGCTACTGAGCTACGGACTGGAGCTTTAATTGAAAATAAATTCCAGCTGCGAAAACTACCGTATAATGAAATGATCCTTCACAACAGGTAATGCTTTACAATTAACTCTGTTAGACTCTGCTACATATGGCAATTTATGTTCAATAAAATACCTTTCTTACCTGTTGAGTAATAAAAACACCATCTCTTTGTCATTTTTACAACTTTTCAAATCCCTTAGTTCTCGCCATCTCCGA